AGAACTTGAGAATAAGCCTTCCTCATTTATGCCCATTATGGACAACACTGCAACAACTCCTAATGATTTTTTAGGACTCTGGCCTAAAAAGAGGAACAAGAGAACGCAGGCAGAGTAAACCAAAACTACATCCAAAAGGTTTTGGCCATACCAGGAGTGCTGCAAGACGCGAGTTCATTAGGCATCTGAGAATCCAGAATGGAAATTGTTTTAATAAGTATTGACTTTTTTCCCCCTCATGAAACTGTTGTACTGCACATCAACTTCAAAACACGCTTTATTTATTCACTTAGCGTTGCAGGCCATTTCTGTTGGGAACCCGAGGCTTTAATAGTTCTAATAAAATTAAACTAACACAGTTAGTTGCTCAACTGCAAGATATACCATCCTTTTCACGCTAATTACAACAATCAGATGGCACCCTTTGAACAATACTGAATTACTAGGGTCTTACTGAATATACTCAGGTTGTTAATATCTGCTAGATTACAGCTGCAAAATACTGAATGCTCATTTCAGCAGGAGATTAGAAAGTACATTTATGATGTTGGCTATCCTTTAGTTGGATCATTGTATTTACATACCATATGTCAGCATGAGATTACAGAATGATACATGCTTTTTGCCTAGACCTTTCAGTCAACTGCAACCAGCTCCAGGAAACTACGAAGCTGAAACTCTATTCCAACCCGACTTTGACAATTCAACTCTCAGGCAGTACGTTCGTTTTCAGAAGACCATGAAAAAGACCAGCACTGACTGGTACAAGCAAACCTCCTACAAAGCAGCTTTTGATTTGCCATTTCTCAATATGCGTAAGTTAACTATGCTGTTCTGCATACACTACTGTTTTTTCTTGGTAGAGAGGGGTGTGAGGACAAACTAGGGAGGTTCACCCTCCATAGTTAGAGGAGGAAGTCAATGAAATAATCTTACACTGCCTTGAGGAAAAAAAAAAAAAGTGAATAAAGTCTTGTCTCACTTCTTCTAGTAGAAGAGCTACAACCTGCCTCTCCAAACCATACTCTTCCCTCACTACAAACTCTCAGGGTATTCCAGTTCCCTCTGTAATACGCAGAAGGCTCCCAATGAACCAGAACAAGATAAACCATTTATACTTGTGCAGATTGCTATCTCTAAAAATAGAGCAGTTACTCAAATATACAGTAGATGATTCCAGTAGTATGCATAGAAAGACCTAAATAGTGAATACCTGGAATCGATCAACAAATTGATCAATTATTGAAAAAATTTATACCGAATAGTATAACCAGATATACTGATTTCATACATTTGATCTAACAGTTCTAAAGTGGCAGTGAAGAGCATTAGGATTTAACATGACATCATCTATTTGAAGCTGCATGAAAAGCCTTGGAATGTGTATTCATTGCAAGATGTTTTAAAGATGAGATGTCAAATGAGAATACAGTTGTAACATTCAGATCAAAGAATGGTATAAAATTCTGAGTTTCTGGAAATAATGCATCATCTGTGTGTATGTCAAGTATGTATACACAGCAGTCTACCTTAAATAGATGAAGCTGTTACGCATGAAGTGTGCTTAATTAGTATACATGAGGTTATAGTTTCACTATTTCAGAGGCTAGGAGCAGTACTGGAGGACAAAATTCAGACTCGAGTAGTCCCTTATTCACAGAAACTTTGCCTTCCGATTTTTCTAAACTAGCTAAACCTTTGATTATTTGTTTTGTTAAGGGAGCTGTCTGTGACAGAGAATGGAAATGCTGATCTTCTATTAGAAAGTACCTCTCCAGGATGATGATAGGCAAAAGCAGCTGTCATGCCTTACATCAGCATGTCTGTCTGTCACTTTATCTGAAGGCTTTCTCCATTAGCAGCATGCCAAAACTTGATTACATGTGGATTACATTTGGAAAGGCTAAGGCAGCAAAAGTATCCCTCGCTTCCTCTCCTATTAGGTTAATAAATCAGACTCACTAAACCATAGGGACATCAGGACTATTAAATGCTGCAGCGCAGCACAAGCCTAGGAGTATCAACCTAGTAAATATTTAAGTGGCAGTGAGAAAGGCATGAGATCAGAATACCTTGCCTGTCATCAGCTTGGTCAGGTCTCACAGGTGCCTGTGCCTCCTCCAAACACCCCATTAGTGGGAGTGGACACTTGGCAGAGAATCAATTTCAACTGCTATCCCGATCCACTTACGGCTCGGATGGCTTACTGCCATCCGATCCACTTATGAGTTAGGAAGAGAAGAGACTTCAGACCAGTAGGTAGGAAGTATAGAGAAAGGGCCTGAGAAATATATGGTGTCACTGAAAAAATAAGTTTAAGAAGCACAAAGGTTTCCCTTCTATTGCAGCTTACTAGTTGTGCAGCCCACGACAGACAACGGAAAGCCTTTTGCCAGTGAATGTGGCGATTCTTTCGAGGCTAAAGGGCACTTGATTCATTAAGGGGAAAAAAGCAGGACAGTAAATTTTGGCTTTAGAAAAACCTGTAAGAGCCTTCAAAGCCATTTAACTTTGCCACTGCTAAAAAGCATTAGGCTGTCCTGTGACAACTCTTCTTCCTCCTTGCTTCTGTAGTTGAACACAGCATGGTTTCAAGAGCAGACCATACAAAGCTCGAAACAATCTCCATAGCTTTTAACATTTGCTTTCACAACATTCATTCAGCTTGATGATAATACAACCTAGCTTCACCAAAAGAGCTATTTCACCATATATGCAAATAAAAAAGGGATAGGAAAAGCAGCATTAAAAAAAAAAAAAAAGAAAGCAAAAAACTAGGTAGGATATAACCATTCTTTCAGCCCCGGAAAGTGGTAGCGCACTGATCCAAGAATTCACTCTAGCATGGCTCATGCAAAACTGGCATTCTGAGAGAATGTAATAAGCTTTACAGACATCAAGTTTAACCACCCGAAATTTAAAGAGGAAAAAAAAAATCTTAATTCCAGGTCATGAGAATAAATACACACCAACAACAGATCCTGGACCACTTACCATCTGGACAAGTACTGTTAATAGGAAGTTGTTCAACTTTCCAGATCTGCACTGGAGTGGAAGAATCAGATTAAAAAAAATCACAGCTGAACTTAAAAGAAAGTAAAAAAGGGTGATAAATCACTCGCACATCCAAGACTGAATTCTGGCTTGTTTCTTTAATTGTACAAATACTTTGTATCATTTTAGCCTATAGCTATATCGCTTAGAACTCCCACATCTGGGAGTCTGAATTCACCAACTGAAAAATAAGGTGCAGTTCATACAGTGGAGATGCAACAGTGGAAAAATTGAGGCAGGCCTTGAACTTCAAGGTCTCTGCTTACCAAAAGCGAGACACACGTATATAGTAAGCCCTCATTTATTTACTCATTGTAGAGGCAAAGCACACCCTCATTTATTAACTCCCTCCTTGAACCAGCTAGTTCCCCATCCTTTGGCTGGTAATTTCACTGACAGCACAGAGCCCCTCAGTTCTTCCCACAGCTATATGAAAGACAATAATATTAGCTATTAGGGCTAATTCCTTCCATCTCCTAGAAAATATTAACATTGCTTTTACCTTCTAAAGGAACTTTGTAAATTATGTATCAAACAGTTATACTCACCCTTCTCCAGCAGGGAATTCAGGACAGCTTTGTAGTTTAAGATTCCCCTTAACTAGGGCGGGATGATTTGTTTCTCTCCCAAACTGCGAGGCTGAGGACAAAACTGGATCCCCCATGCCCATCCCCTCCCAGAAAAATTTTTCAAGTACAAGGTTGGTTTTGTTTTTTAATATTGGAGAGAACGGTCTTTAACATGTAATACTGATACAAAGGTCTTTCACTGTATTTGCCTATTTTCCACCATTATGTAGTATCCTCCTCTTTCCACACACTATGCAAGTAAAATACACCGACCCTGCAAACTGCTCTGTTACGTGGAAACAGTTCAACAGGAAATGCTCCCTAAATATCTGTAATCTTTATCCTTCAGCCCTCCCGTTCCACCCTTTATGATGAGCAACTTTATCTTACATCCAGTTGAGAATATAAACATTGTGTTGAACATCTCAACTGCAGTGTTAATCCAATAGCTCTATTGACTTTCACAAAATATATGGTTACCTAAGACACAGTTTGGAAGGTCTGATATCTTTTATTTTGCATTAGAAGTTTCTTATATTCACCTGCACAGCTGAAGCCTACTAAGCCATCCTCCTCTGCCCCACCCTGATACAAACTTTTTTTTTTTTTTTTTTTTTTTAAAGAAACAAAGCAGTTTTTTGGGGGTTTTTTGAGTCAAAGAGAAGTACATGAACACCATAGTATAATGTGTAAAAACAAAGTCATTCTTTAAAAATCTGGAATAAGAGTATGTAATTATTGTCAAAAGAAATCAGATTATTTGGATCATAATGGTGATAAATGAAAATCATTCCAGAAGGTTTTCTAACACTAATAAGCCAAAATATATGTCAGATGTCAAGGGGTGACTACTTACTATTTTCCCACATCTAAAGCAAATGTGTTGAATATTTTAAATATTTCCAAACCATCTTAAATTTAGAATTATAAAAGTGTCTGTGTTTCACTAGGTCTCCAGAGAAAGATCTTATACTGGCTATGTAAAAAGGAATTTAAAAGGGCATCAAAATGCTAGACTTATCAAATATAAACATAACCTCTTTTAATTAGGGAAACAGCTGAGATAGCACTCTGGAAGTAGAGGTATTCAGTGTTTTTAAAATACTAAGAAATTTGAGTAAAATGCTAGAACATTTAACTCAAAATCAGAACTGTTCTTTAATAATTGCAAATTAACTTTTTACAATATCAAGTTTCTAGCTTTTTGCACACGCTTTCTGGCAAACACTTGAGTGTCCTCTCTGAGTTATAAAGAGTAAGTTTTTTGTGCTGTACAGCTAAAAAACCCTTGGACATTTTTCAGCTTCTTGGCATCACACCTTTTTTTCTTTTCTCTTTTTCTTTTAAAAGCAGATCACACAATAATTTAGACAGCACTTATAGCATTATAAAATCAGAATCCCTCTCTTTAATCACTTACAAGAGCAGCCATAAAGAATACAACAGCTTTAGGAATACAAATAATGAGGATGTAAAACTATCTGTGCAAAACTGCATTATTTTACTGTCTAAAATTTCAAGGTAGTAACACCGCCAAAAGCAGAGACACGGTAACAAAGACAAACAGTCATGAAAGTAACGCTACCTTAGATTTTAAAACAGGAATTACACTATGAAGTAAATATTAGGTAAAGAAAAAATCTGATGGCACCACGAACAACAATGACAACAAATGTCCTGGAAATCTCCAGTTGACGAAGAATTGATACAAGTTCATGTTAAAGTCTCTTTCAGGAGTAGTGATTGATTTGGGGATATCAACTCTAGCATTTCTTTCCATGCAAAAATCTATCTTTTCAACATCTTTGCTTTGCGGGCTACTAATGCATTTAAGAATGAGCAGTCTTTTGAGGAGTGTGCTTTCTTCCATGCATCTGAAACCTTTAAAACAGCTGGATCATTGATTCCCTGGATTTCCCTACTCCAATCCATTTAACTGCAGGAGAGAAAAGCAAACTATTACAAATAATCCGAAGCAAGATCTTATTGTATCTTAAGATAAGATACAAGCTTATCTTCTTAAGTGCTTAAGTTCTTCAGTGCTATGGTCTATGAAGAACACCACAATGAGTATGGTAAGAAATGATAACCATGTGTATTGATCTGAAAGAAAGAGTGCACTGCTAATTTCCAAAAACAGGAATAGTCTTGAATGTCTGAAAAAATACATCAGTTTTCCAGATATAGAGGAAAAAAGATACATAGCATCTGTCAAAAATGTAAAAATTTGCATCATCTTCTAATTCCCATCTTTGGATAGAACCACAAGAGCATCGTTAGTAGGGAGCATAAGAGCAATTGGTTGGTTTAGAACCTTTTTCTGTTACATATATTTAATATTACATTCGTATACCAGTAGTCCCGCTGACTTTAATGGCAGCAGAAATAAACCCCTATTATAACTTGGTAAGCAATTTTTAAAAATCTCAGTTCAACATGAACTATAGCACAAGTCATACAAAGGACACATACTAAAACTTTTGAAAACTTCCAATGCAACAGCTAAGTAGACAGATAAAAAGGAGATGCAAAACAGTAGCTATAAGAATCACCAGGTACTTAAGAATAAGCATAGCTAAAAAAAAATCTAATTTTGAATATTTTGAATGTTCATTAAGGCAGAGTACCAAAAAGACAGATTTCATGGAGCTGGGGGAGGGAAAAAAAAAAAAAAGTAGTCTGCTTTACTTACCAGGAACACCTAGCTCCATTTCTATAAAGCGAACATAGTTCTGTGCATTTACAGGCAGCTCATCAAATGTCCTTGCATTTGATATGTCTGTATCCCATCCTGGGAGTGTCTCATACTGAACCTCTACTTTATTTAAGACTTCCTGGTTGGCTGAGAAGGAAACAGAAACAAAACTATTATGTCCACAGTGTTGATATATTCTCTACCACCAATCGATTAGCTGTAAGCTTTCTATTCTCGTCTTACATGAAGAAGTTTGTTCACCAGATAATAATGGCAGTGAAGGTACTAAAGTGTCCTTTTTTACTAATGTAAATGGAGAAAACAAAACCTGACAACTATCAGCACTTGGACTTCAAGAATTCTGGTATTCAACAGTCACAGGAATACGTTTTGCTTGAACCACAACCTGTATTTTTCAGGAAATTTAATTCCCAAGTTTTTTTTTTTTTTCCCCCCCTGTACAAATACCACGATACAGCTCTCCCTTCACAAGGGAATTTGGATAATGTGAAAACACAGCTAGGTACCAGCTTGCAAGCGTCAGTTACATGCATTTTGCAGTGGCATAGGAACGTATTTTTTTTTTCAACTAAACAAACATAGTCACAAGATGTACTGTTTATATATAGTTTACTTCTGATGGCCACGGACTCATTGCCCCAAAACTCTAGAACAGATCCTTGTTTGTCTGCAGCTCACTAGCTCTTTAGGTCCTCAGCTACAGGATACTTGGCAATATGCCAACATGGAATAGCGCATTATAAGCCTTCTTCCCCGTTCAGCAGAATCTGCAGTGTTTATCTCGATCAGACATAGGATGGTCTATTCTTGGATATCACCACATATGGAAGAAACACCAAATAAAGTCTTTCAACAACCATCATGAGAGTCAACAGTAGAGGGACAGAGTTGGTCCCTTATGTTGGTTCTGTAGACCTGAAAGTATGGAGTCACACACGATGTATGAACAATGACTCCATTCCCATTACTTCTCAGAATGGAAGCAATGAGTCTACTCCATCCGGTCCTTTACATTACAACTTGCTATGATGATGTCCACCAACTCTGAATCCTGTGATGCCCTCAAGTACTGGAAAAGAAACTAAGCATATTGGTGGAATGATTCAATTCCCAAGTAATTATCTGAACATCAGTCTTGGGGCGACCTTGGGCAGTGAAACAGAAGCCTGAGAAAAACAGAGGGTTCTACCAAAGGCCTAATAATTCATGTTATTTAAGTTCTACGTCTCAGATACCCTGATCAAATCACTCCTGCAGAGACAGCCAGCCAGTCTGAAACGTTGTCACAGGTGCAAGAGGCAAAAATAAAAGTGCAAATACAGAATCACAACTAATTTCTCTGGCATGCATGCAGCCAACAAACTTGACTTGAAATAGACAGACTTGAAATACTGAATAATTTGTCCTGGTGCAGATAACAGTTCCATAGCAGTGGTGCTGTAAGGATGGCCTTTATGAATTGGATGCTTTGAGTAGGGCTATGTTCTACCGATTTCAAAGCCTAGAAGAGTGGAAAGAATACACAATTTTTGGACTGAGGTGTTCACAGGTTAAGGCAAATGCCAACAAACGCAGTATCCTGGAAGTACAAAACCATTAATCTATCTCCAGGCATTGCAGATGGTCCAGAATAAGATGCCAGCCTCCCTCTTTCTGAAGGGAAAGCGTGACTGAACACCCAACCTTGGAAGTCTATGAGCAATTCAGTTTTTACTTTGATGCCTCTCTGATGAAGGGAAAAAGCTGAAAGTTGAAAGGACTTAGACCTGAAAAGACTATTCTTGTCTATAAACTTCCACTACTTTCCAAAAGAAAGGTAGAAGGAGGGATATATTTCTTGACGTTTCAAGTGATTCTCTCCTCTTGCCTCAACTGGTGTGGTAACAGAGGATGCGTGATAAAGACAAGCCCTGAACTGAGCTCAGTACATTAACAGATGTAGCTACTTTCTAGACGTCTCTGAGGCTCCTGCCTTAGGGGTTTACGTTTCAGGCTTTCTGGAGCATTCTTCATCAACAGCTGTATTAGATAACGGAGAAAGCAGATGTAATGATATCTGGTAGTCTCATATATAAATTTGGAGAGGGAGCTGGGTGATATTACTTCCAACTCAAAAAGAATAGTTGTGACTCAGGATTTTGGCATGAAAAGATCTCGGTTTGCAAGATCCTCCAGCAACTTCCAGAAACTGACCTTAAAAGTAGTTATACAGGTCAGACCAGGGGTGCATACAGCACAGTGTCCTGGCTCTGTGACCAACAGTAGATGGCCAAGGAGAAGCATAAGAAAAAGGTAAGCATGAAGTGAAGCGTTTCCAAAATACTCTCCCAGTTTCCTAAGAACCTGTGGTTTCAAAATTTCCTGAGCTAGAGGTGGTGCCCTTCTGTGCCGAGATTACCTGTTGACCAAATTTGTACAGACACACTGGCAGGACTAGACCCTGGCTTTCACGTTCCTCTTCATCTGGATCAGCTCAGAGCTGGTAGAGACCTCTGCCTGTCTTTCACAATCTCATGGGACTGAACACAGTTGGCAAGGGGATCCTGGCAAGCTCCACAGCAAAAAAGTAGAGCCTCCACAATACCAACTAAGGCCAGCTGTAAAGTTAACAGACGTTTTGGGTTCTTTCTTAAAGGATCACAAAACCCTCACAGAACTCTCTAGGCTGAAAAACTGAATGACATCTATGATGCTGACATCCAGCTGGAAAAAGGAATAATACATGAAATATGGCATGTTTTTTTCCCCTTGAGATAATGGGCGCTCTGAGGGTTTCTAATATATAGACAATCATCTCACCAGAAGGATAAGTCAGTGACTTCTCCAAGAGAATGGGGGTGAGGGGAAGAGGGAGAAACACCCTGCCAGTGAAAGACTCCCAGACTAGAACTCTTCTGAATTAAATTCAAAATCAAGATGTCAATAAGGAAGTAGCAACTAAAACAAAAATGAGAAAAAAACATCTACGTCTCTGCAGGCTGTACACAAAAAATAAATCCCCTCTCCAAGGGACAAAATGCAAAGGAGGAAGAAAGCTACCTTTTGTTTTTTATGCCAGAGGTGAGGAGAAAAAGCAATCTGCAGTATACGTGCCAAAAGCACAGTCAGACGTTGAGCAGCACGGCAGAGATGTGGAACATCTCTCTGACAGACAGCAGCTTCTGGTTTACTGAAAGTTCAACTCAAACTCCTCCCTGACACTTAAGCAAGACAACCAGTCAGCAGCAAAGGTAACAACTTCTATTGAATTTCTATCAGAATTCTTAATTGTTAATTCAATAAAGAAACAAATAGTTTGGTGGATAAGCCATGCTGTGCAGCTATGACCGAAGGTCAGCCAGCTGTTACCTGGACATACGCAGGGAATAAAATCTGCCCTCAGGAGTTGCAACAAGATTCTGGTCCCTTCCGAGAGCCACATCTGACTGGACAAATCACTGAAATAAGACTTCAGTACTGGAAAATATGAGGACCTATTTATGTCATCTTTCATGACAGACTGCCAAAGAAAGTTCTCATGGCTTGAGCAAGAAACAGTTCAAATAGCCCCCAGGTTAGATGAGAGGGCTACAGATGAAATACTCAGTGAAGAATCCTCAACTCAAACTTGCTTTCTCTATTTTGCTCAAAGGATATTTGAAATATGCTTTACCATTTCCTTATCATTTTGGTAAGGACATCAAACAGGGTGGGAATATTCGAGCTTTAAAAGGGGAAAAGCATTCCCTGATTTAGTGCAAGATGAGCGCTAAACTTCTTAAATAAAAGTTAATACGTGCCATGTCATTCAATACACATCCAGATCGTAGCTGGTACTTTTGTTTGAAGATACTGGAGGGCAAAGTACCTTAGAGAATTCCTCCAAGTACATGAAAAAGCAAAGGTTTTTTGTTATTTCCTTATGAATTTCCCTCAAAAGACAAGTGTTGACAACTGACACAAAATTTATCATTTATTCCTTTATACATAATTACATCTTTATATTTTGTAAATCCTGTTATGAATCACATTTGGTTATTACATTTGCTCTCCTCACCCACAAAAAAATTCTCTGCTACTGTTATCCTAAAACATTATAACCTGCAAGCAGCCTCAAACCTTCAAGTGGCAACAAGCATGGATCACAGATCCACGTGCACGTCAGAAAATCAGAAAGCCCAGTTTTCAGTACTGGTCAATGTTCTTCCTGTTTCTGGAATATGTCACTACAACAAACTGGAAAAAAAAATGCATTACCCACGAAATCACTATTTTGAATATGTTAACATCCAGATATATTTTTTTCTGGTAAATTTACTAAAATGACACAGTCCTCCCTCAGCGAGGAACTACACTTTCTATCACGCTAGGCTGACCTATGTTGCTCCTGCCATTGAAACACGGATGTTCTTATGTTCTCCTAAACTAGCTGCTCAGTCTCTCCCCTCTCCTCCACGTTTCCATTGGTTTTTGGCTGCTCTGTGAACTATTAAAGAGAACTGACCCATTCAAAAATTAATAGAAGGAGGGAAAAAAATCTGGCTTTTCAATGGGATCAGTTCCTTTATCTAGTAAACTTGACAGCTAAATAAAGATTTGTCCTGCTACAAGAAAGCATGACTACAGTAGTGGAAATAAGACACTGGATTTAGAGCGTGAAACGAGCTTCAGATTTAGCCTGAAGATAATTCAGGCTGTATTAAAGAAAAGGGATAAAGCAGTAATAACATTTATGTTTTAAAACTCAAGCTTTATAAAGCATTTCACATCCTTCCGACAAAAAAATGACACTATGTGGTGCAGGTGTCTTTATACAGTACAGGTGTCTGATGCATCTCAGAAGACAGGAATGGCTTGATGCTAAAGTAATGAATTCCTGCGATTTAAGTATCAGATTACATTTCATCAAAATCTAAAATAATAATTATAAACATGACGTCTTACCAGGAAAATGAGGTATGATTTCACCATCTAGTTTGTATGCAACACCAACTTTGATTTCTGGAAATACATCCAAGATATCCAATTTGGTAAGAGCCAAGCTATAAAGAAACATTACCCTGTTTAAATACATTTCACAATTCTCAGCATGTTTTAAAAATACCAGAAATCAACCAAGCAAAAAAGATTCCTGCACATAATTCATCTTTTTCTTTCCTTAGAAAAATAGCTTGTAGGGCACTGTTCAATCTATCTAGATTTTTTAACTTTGTTTTTTTGGACTTAAACAGTCCTTATGTTGGAACTTAGATCTGGCACTATCACAAAATTCAAAGAACATGTATGACCCAATTAAAGTGGCTAATCCCTACTTTTAAATGGTAGAATTTTAATTGGTCAAGGTGCTGCCAAGACATCTATGACCCTTCATATGAGATGGTTTTGTAGCATGATGCCTGTTGCTGTCTGCTCTTCTCTGCCAAATGTTCCTTTCCCACTGCGAGAACAGCAAAATAATCAAGCACTGGCTCTGTAAATACCCAGCTGCATGCCCAAGCATATTATTTTAAATGAAAAATACAAAGGATAGGGAAAATGAGAACATTTAAGGAAGCATATATTTACACTGATAGATCTACTAGAAATTTTATACAAGTTTTGTTTCAGATACCTATTTTTCATTTTAACTGAAATCTCAGAGAAAAATCACGTTTAAGTCTTCTATGTTTACCTATACTGCTAAATATACCAGTAGCTTCCTATCCGTCTCATACTGGAAAAAAAATTGATTTATGCCAGGCTTTAAGGTCCTTGTAACGTGTTTGATTTGGTTTGCTTAGGAGAAGAGGGGGGCAATAGCTTGAAGTATCAAGTACTTTGGCCCATAAGACATTCTTGGATCTCTTTATATAAATGATGTAGTACAAGTAAAAGAAAGAATTTAGGAGTACAGAAATGAAAAATATAAAATATTTACTGCTAGGAAAATGAGGGGCAGTTAATTTCTCAAAAAGAGAAGAATGAAAGATACATTCAGAATAATGAATATCCTTGTCAAGCAATTTTATAAAAATCATAACACTAACTTTAAAGGGTGAGATGTGTTTAATTTTTAGTGTCCTCTATGACACTATGATTGCTTTTGAATCATAGAAACAGAAATGTTGGTTGGAGATGACTAACCATCTGATAAAAATCATTTCAGAGTCACTTAGTCCAACTTCCCGATCGAGACAGAAGCAATTGCCAAGAGATTCTGCCACCTCTGGAACCTATTCTAGTGCTACGCTCTCTTAGCGAAGAAAGTCTCATTTAAGACTAGTGTCTAGCTTTTAGACAAAAATATCCAGAATCGTAGAATAAACTTATATCTAATTGTTGTACCTTTTGAAAAAATCTGCTCATTCAGGGAGGAAAAAAACCTTCATTTATAGCTAGGGCTATGGAACTTTACCGGCAATCGAATCTTTATAAAGTCCATTTTCTTTCAGTAATAACAGTCTGAATGTTACTGACTTGCACATGTACCATGTACGATAACCTGTCTCATATTATGATTTCAAGTCAAGCTGCCAGCAAAGCTGTCACAAATAACTCACGCAGTAAATCCATTAATCATGTAGGCATATCGCAGTAACACAAGATCCAGCCAGCCACATCTTCTCTTTCTACCAGTTGTCACGCCAAACTCTTTGCCTCGCGTTTGCAACAATTCTCCAATTTCCTAACAAAGAGGAGTACTATTACATAAGCCTTTTCATATTTGCATATAAATCTGCATCATATATTTTAGCATCATTTAAAATATTGTAATTTACCTTAAAATTTCTTCCCCCTCCCATATTTCATAAATCTGTCAATCAAGATGAAAATTAAACACACAAAACGCTCTTGCTAATTCAAGGGAACGCTGTTCGAGCAGTTCTCTCAAAACTTGTTCCTTCTCTAGGTTTCTATTCCATAGGAAGATTTGAGAAGCTGACAATCAGATCTGGCACTCCTATATTTTCATTTTACAATCAGATCTGGCACTCCTATATTTTCATTTTACAACCAGAAGAATGACACATCCAACCCACTGTCATCTGCTTGCATTTAACCAATAATATTGATTTGACATAAGAAGCATTGACTAATTTTATCCAGTTATAGGTCACATTAGTGTAGATAATGCTTACGTTATTTTGCTCTGTAGGAAAGGCACCAATGCCAACTCTAGTAGTGTATGCTTTCACAACTCCATACACTTCCCCAACGTTCTGTGGTGGCATGCCTAGACCTGTACAAACACCTCCAACTGTACAGTTCGATGAAGTCACAAAAGGATACGTGCCTATTTAAAAAAACAAAAAAAAAATCACTTTTAAAAACATTCTATTCTTAAACTATTAAAAAAAAATCTAACAGAGTAAGGAGTATTTCTACACTGCACTTAGCTAGATTTTACACAAAAAAAACAATAATAAATGCATTTTACAGTCAATCACATATTTAATGAGCCCTTAGTTTGTGTGTTCGTCGTCTGCTCCTTTTTTATTAAAACAGCAGAAACCTTAGCACTTATATCAACTGGCACAGAAGCAAACTTTGACCACATAACAACTCTGGAGGGTCATACAAGTCAAAAATTGGAATGAGGCACCATAAAACTATGCCTTGCTCTATTACATAAAATATTTTTACACTTTGCTATAAGTGAGTATACGAAAAGAGACTCTTAAGAAAATGGTATTAACTGGTCAGAAAGTAGAGGTTTATTACTTTTCATTTGGGGGAAAAAAACCAAAAAATAGGCTGAAACAAACTAGTCAACAATATATAAGGATAAGAAACAGCATAGAAAAGTCAAATTTGAGGAAATCTTTGATTATATTATCAAATGATTTCTATAACAAAAATAAAAGGAAATATAAAAAAAGGCTTCTGGAATATAGTCTACTTCAGTAGTGATGAGAGTTTTTCCATGGATAAAAAAAAAAAAAAACTAACAATAATAAATAGAAATTAAAACAAAAAAAATCCTCATTTAAAGAACAGCCTGAATACCAAAGGCAGCTAAAAGAGTGAAACTAAATATTTTGTTAGCCGTTAAACACTTTTCTGTTTAAATAACGGAAGATGAAACATAGTAAGCCAGTCCTTTGCTGACATGAATCGTGAATGAATGCTTCAGGCACCAGTAACTGCATATAAGCCAGAGACTTCTACTTGATGCTTCAGATTTCTTTTTTCTTCCTTAGTATAAGAGTCTGAGAGATGGGTAAGAGAGGAATAGCTGAGAAATAAGGGACTGAAAGCAGTAGAGACAATTTTAAAAGTCAAAATCCTTCAGAGACTTTTACACTGCGGTTTTGAAGCCTAGCTTCACTAGATACCACTGGCTTCTTTTACTTAATTCAAATCTCTCAAGAGAAAGATACAGATTTGTAGGTGATACATACCAGCAGTTTGTAAGTACTAATTAAGGCTTTACCTTTTTTATGAAACAGTAGTTAGGTTTATCTCTTCTGGCAGGTAGTACAAACAGGGGATGTCAAAGAGGTTATACCTACCAAAATCAATGTCCAGTAGTGCTGCATTAGCACCTTCTACTAAGATCTTCTTTGGTGGTCCATGCAAAGCCTCGTACATGAAATAGACACCATCCCTTACCATTGGTTTTATTTTTTCCATGTAGCCCTGAGTAAAACAAAAGATTAGTGTTTAGTGTAGTTTCACGATGATAGAGACAGCCAGAGAACTGTTCCATGCAAATGTCTAAGTGCTACTCCTCTCTCATAAAAAGGGTTTTAATCCTTTTGAAAAGAAAAAGCAAATGTAAAGAAATGCTAAATAATTATGTGCCAACATGCAAGCAAAGCAAGGAGAAACATTAGGTTCAGATTTATACACTAGATATATAGGCTCTTCCTAGAAAGAAAGGAAGAAAAAAAACCCAAATCCATAACTGTTGAAGTATTTTAAATGTTTTAGAAAGATTCAAGCTTGAGTATAATCACAGAATTTTACTGTTGTCAGCATTTCATTTACAAGCATTCAAAAAGTCTCCTCCAAAACCAGCATCTGGAGAGTTCCACTACTGGCCATCTGAAGCAAACAAACAAACACAGCTGTAAAGTCACGTTCACTTGTGGGGTGTTTTTGGTTTGTTTGTTTGGTTTGTTAAGTTATTTATCGGAATTAAGGGCAAACTACCTAAACACCTTTGAGGAACTGGGTGTAGGAACCCAATAATGTTCACATTAGCACTTGGCACACAGCCTTTTCTGCCATGAGAACATATGGAAGTTCTCATTCTAATGATTCACTTCACATGAAATATAGCAGCTTTGCTCTTTCAGAATTTAATGAATTATATTAGCATAAAACAAACATTAAGTGTAAGTAGTTTTCCTCAAGCTACACTGCATGTTTTCACCCCAGCAATGCATTTCTGACATTCTGCAGTCAAAATGTGTACTGAAGTAAACTGAAAAGGATTATAAAACATTCAACTGTAACTGATTTTTAGGTGTACAAATTGATAAAAGTTTTACAATTCAACATGTGTAAGTGACATCACTTACGGTAAGCCAAACAGAAACGCTAATCCCACGCATTGCTTTCTAGAGTTGGCGAACCAAGTTTAGTGACAACTAAAGACGATTTTTTTGGCCCAATCTTCTAAAATAATTAAGCATATGTAACCGTGTGCTCCCTCCCCTGTTCCACACATACCTCAATACTGTTAACCCATTTGTCAAATTTGGATGAAGCTTTCTAAAGGGTAAAAATCTCAGAGTTAAGTTTCTATAAAATGCATGGGAGCAGGAAGAGGCTGGGTAAAGGTAAGGTACTTTACAGTTTTCCAGATAAGAACTTGGCTGCACTGCAAACTTGTACTATTAAGCATAATAAATCAACACTAGGGATAAATCTCACAAGTGCTCCAATTATAGGGAAAACTTCAAATCAGAATTTATTAATTAACGACAAGACCAGTTTGTTGGTAATCAGCCTTCATTAGTTCTGCTGCAATATCAGGTTACTGTTTAATAGCATAAAAGAAATTAGGCTGTTTTTTTTTTATAATACTAATATACTACATTCTCAAGGTTACAACAAGAGGAATTCATATTCTGCTTTACAATGAAGATACCTCATCCCCAATTACAATCTTATTTTTTCAGTCAATGTGTTTGAGAAAGTGGAAAGCTAAAAAGATGAAACAGTCTAATGTAGGGAGAATTAAGGTTTACAATAGCTCTCTTCAAACTAGGTTTTCAAATGCTGCATAAAGCAGTATCAAAAGAGTCCTTAAGCATCAGACTCTTTAAAAATCATACCAATCTCCCATGAGATATGCATTATGCTTTAACTCCTCATAGGCGCATTTAAGAGTCTAGAGGTTTACGTATCAGTAAATTATATATATAGAGTGATTACATCATGCAACAGACAGAAGCAGGCTTACCTTCAGCTTTTTCAACTCCCCTTCAATGTCTATCTCCAAGGTGGGATATATAGCTTTGTACTGATTGGCTAACACTTTGAACCTGAAAGATAAAATTTTTTCACTAGGATTTTTGTTTGTTTGTTTCCCTCCCCCACCTTAGCTTCTATTGGTGTAAGTGTCTACAATTATTTTGTGTTTAAATATTTTTTTAAGCTGAACAGCATACTAAAAAATGCATCAGCAGCCAGATGTAATTGTTTACACAGGGACCTATCCAGAAACTGAAAACTAAGCTTGAAACTGTGCATTAAAATATAGAAATTACCTCTCCGAAAATTCATCAAAATCAGAAACAAGATCACACATTCTGAGTCCACTTCGAGCAGCTTTTGAAGAATATACTGGACCAATTCCTTTTTTGGTAGTTCCCAAACTTTCAAAAGATAATAACACAAGTTATTCTTGATATAAAACCAAGCTTTTTTTTTTTTCTCTTAAAAGCTACTACATATTTAGCATAAAATCAAATGCTATTATTGCAAACATTTAAAATCTTGACCCACAAGATACTAATAGCATGCAACTCAGTTTCAGAACATTACCGTTTATAGACATACCTTCCACATAATTCTGTTTTAAAAGCAATAATCTTTCATATTTTAGTGAAATGCTTTTCTATACAAAACCCAAATGTTAATTTCTCTGATTTTACGCTTAAGGAACTGAATGCCAAGACAACATCCTTGAATGGTATGAACTGAAACTAACCAAACACCTTCCTAAAAAGTTATTTCCTAAAGAGATAAAGAAAGTCCTCAATAAAGCAACAGAACAGATAGTAACTTGATAGGGACATTAACAGCTAGCTTTCCGAGTTAATATACTGTTAATATATAACATATATTTAAAAAAATTGTATGTGTAATATATATACATAATATATAAAAAGGTATATATATATATATAAAGATATACACACACACATATATATATACACACACCTCAAGCAACTACATGCTTAAATCATTAAAGGGTTGCAGTATAAGATTAAGAGAAGGCAGAACACCTAAGATAAAGGGTTAACACTGATAGAGAGAGAAAAGTGATCCCAAACTCTAAAAAAACTGCAGTGGTAGCAGGGCACAAGACAGAAAGACAACGAGAGTGACTGCTCTTTAGATTTCAAAACTCTGTAAACACATCAAGAGTCTGCAAAAACCCTGGGATTCCCATCCCAGGAACTATAATAGATAAAGGACTCAAATTCCCTGCAACATCATTCTAGTCAAAGAGCAGATAATGACCTATTATTATCATAGAGAGAATTACACTTTATTTTTATGGCTTTCAACTTCTGGAGTGTAAGGTATGACCTTTGGCCTTTTATGAACTATTTTACAAATACATGAAGAGACAGCCCATGAAACAAAATTTATGCAACCAGTATGAAGAAGTGCAGAGAAAAGAGACCAAACCAGTGATCCCAGTGATCACTATGGTCTCAACAAATGGTTGTCTCAATAAAATAGCTATACAACAAAAGGTCATTTTTAAAGGTCAGAGGGTTCTCTGTAGAAGAAAAATAGAGCTTTATTAAATTTTCCAAGTCCATAACTCAAGGAAGGAGACCCTATAAGAAAAAATTAGAAACAATGGCACTAGTCACAAGAAGGCAGAAACTGAGTTTACAAAACACAGAGGCAAACTTGAAGTGACTGCAGCATAAAGCCAGGCACTGGAAGGCATTAGAAACAAAGACAATTTTATGTCCTTTTTTTTTTTTTTTTTAATAGATAAAGACAGCGCTAGCTGTTAAAAGATGAGAAAGTGATTTCCACTAGAGCTTTGCTGGTTGGCTATCAAAATGGAAGCAAACTGCACTCATCACAATCAGCTTGTCACATATCTCCCTATCACTTTCAAAAGTGAAGTACTTTTTTTAAGGAGAAGCTACCAGGTGTGCAGCATTTTCAGAAGTTTGCTGTACATTGCCATACTTAGTTTTGCACTTAACTTTATAGATTTTTTTTCCTGAACAGAAACACAAAGCCTTGACTTTCTCCACTACAAAATCTGGCAGATGAAGTGGCTCAAATTTCTTCCAATTGCCTTGAAATTACTGAAACTCAGTTCTATAGGGACTCCATTTCAATGTGAAGGTACAGTTTAATCCTAAAGCCGTATCTACACTTTATACTAGAGATATCAATTGAGACGCGAGTGAACTGAAATTCAGTTCACGCACATCAGTAAATAATTCATGTTAGTTGTTTTTTGCTGTCACAAGTTTAGAGTAGATTCAAAACAATAATCTAGAAAAAAACAGGTTATTCCAATTAGATTCAACACTGAGTTATTTCAGGGAGTGGTAATGTTTGCCTTCAGCCTGAAATCCAAAACACCTTGATGTACTTTGTATACTACAGCATCATTTCACTAACGTAGATTGAGACTCCTCACTAAGTAGGAGTTTGTGGCTTAAATTGATTCTAACCCACACCCCAATTCATACCATTCACAGAGAATATTTTTAAGAAGTTAGTTTCCACCTATTTTGTTTCATAAAACATTCAATTCATAAAAGAGTTAACATCTATAAATAGTCTCCTGATTGAGAGCTTAAAACAGCTGTATAAGCGTAATACCTTCTACACCAGATCACCATTTTCTATACTGTTTTTACAAGGAAAGCTTTATGGTCCTTATCTGCAGTTTTTCTTGAGCTACAGGTGAACAGATAAAAGCATTCAGTTAAATTAAAATTAAACCTATTGCTTTTTTATACTGACCAACTTTAAAGTATTAGACCCAGAAGAAATTTGATACAAAACATGCTAAAAGGTCGTATCAACACTTCAGCACGCTATCAGGCTATTTCAGTTTCTTTCACAAACAGGCAATAGCCTCAGGGCCTTCAGCAAAGATGCTTTTTATAGTCAATTTCTGATTTCCTGTGCTTAGCCAGCCTGTAATAGTACTTCCAACGCTACAGTCATTTAGCTCCCCATAAAATTTTAGGGGGAAATATGTACAGCTTAATATTTTTAATGCATTAGCAGTTTTACCAAGCTTGAAAACTCTATGGCTGCTGCAAAATTTCTACAGCAAAATCATCCTCACAGAAAGAACAGATACAGGACTTTAAAGAGTGAATTAAAGTTTTTACCTTTTGAATTACATGAGGAAAAAAAATCTGGGTTTCTTTAAACCAAATTAATTGGAGGAAAGAGGTTATTTCTTTATTAGGCATTCTCTTACAGTCTTTAATGTTGACTAATAAAGTGGTTCCCTCTCACAAATAGCCAAGTGACTTAGTGTTTTTTAAACCACAAATGATGCCATACATCAGTTTTAGTTTGTACTGCACAAACATTCAAGAATAGCTGACGTACAGATACTGGCTCATAAAAAAAAATGCCTTCCTATTTGCTTTTTAAAGTTTTCAAAAAGTTAGCATTAAATAACAACCTGTGTGAAACAAGTATGTTTTACTACGCTTTGCCCAAATCAGACATTCTCTTAAAGGTTATAGTCACAGATGATATATTTTATCTGAAGTCTCAGTAGGGAAGACTGAATTCATTTCCATCTACATACACAACCCCCTTCCCCTCCCCAGGAGGGAGATTAAGCTTTTACCTCAGAAACTATAGTGCTGCTTTACTTTCCAATTGTAGAGGTGTTACGCTGTTAATTCTGCCAGCTCTTTCCCCTTCCCCAAGAACTGGCAAGCTACTTGGAAATCACAAATTAGAAACATAGCACCTAGTTTTTAGAACTCACAGAAACTTTATAAAGTCAGCAGCAGCATGTAACAGACAGCATGAACGTTTATATGCATTACTGAAAACAAAAGTCATTAGATACCATATGAGTCCTATCAGACTTTTTATTTATTTGGAGATGATGAAGTGGTTCTTCAAACTTTATAAACAGATTTTTTTTTTTTTAATAAAACAAAATATATTTCTCTGGTAAACAATTTAAATACTGGGAAGCAGCAACCCTTTTCGTGCAGCAAATGAAGATCTAGAAACTTTTCATATGGCAAAAAAATAAACAAAACAAAAAAAACCCACACTACCAAGATACAACCCTTTCACTAAGGATATAATTGTTTGCTTGCCACTGCAGGATGGAAGTGTAAAAAATGATCCCTGCATGCTCCACATTAAAGACTTGCAAGGAACAATTAATATAGTTTTAAATGTGACGACAAACAATAAAGGAAATCCAGTGTACTAAGCCATGTATGTTTCCCATGTTCGGCATAATAGAGCTACGTACTTCTTTCCTGCTTGTTCTTCTCTTTGCTGTTCTTGGATTCCATCAGCAGCTTGATGGAAGTCAAATACTAAGAAAATGAGAAATTCCCTTAATTAGAAAATTTGCATGAAATGAATAGCCATATCAATAACTATTTCTTCAAACCCATCCTAATCCTACTTATCACTGTGGAGAACAAAATTATATACACAAAAGAGAGGCAACTACAACGGCAAGAGCCTTTTTTATTCTTTTACAAGTTATGTTTCTTCACAGTAAAGGGTTTTGAGGTGGTTGAGAGATTTTTTTTTTTTTTTTTTAAAACAAACATGTTCATTTTGTAGAATACTCACAGGCTGTGTATACATCTCCCATAGGTAACTAAGCCATTTCAGTCTAGTAATGGCCCAAAATAACATAATGTATAGATCACAAACAGAAAGAAAATGCGTAACTGAAAACATTCTGGAAAATAGGTTACAATAAATAGTCATACTGATAAAATTTAAGGTAGGGACTTTAGGAATGTTTTCATTAATTCTGAACACTTCTTAGATCATGTTAATTTTAGCAAGACTGCATCAGTGGAAATACATTTGGATAAAATCTTCCAGTGCTGATTTCATAAATCAATGCAGTACAAGACAAAGACAGAAGTCATCTTTGCAAGTAGTGCTTTTTTTTAGCATTACATATTATCAGCAACAAAGAGTTTATGCAAAACACTCCTTACAACACTTCTGTGTTTACCAAAAAATACATATGACAAGACTCATGGCAAATATAAACAGTGCTGCAGCACTTTGCAGGTTAACAGAAAACAACCATCTGCAAGTTACCAACTTACTTTTCTTAAGCACTATGTCCGGAAAGTTCAACAACTAACCTGCTCATTACAAGGAAAGATGGAAAACTTGCAAGACACTGACTCATTCAGTAAGTGCTCTAGTCTCTCTAAAACAAGAGTTACTTTCCTTGTTTTCCTTACCAAGTTCTTTGTGTGTTTATTTCCACATTTCCCCATAATTTCAAGGATTAGATCATCCCTAGCAGCTTGAACTGATTTTGGCTGATCATCTGTTATAGCCTAGTAGCAAAATTCACAGATCACCATCGTCCAGTTTAGATAAGGCATCTATAATGGCAACAGATCTCCAGACCATCTTCAAAACCTTTTAAATAGCATTAATGAACTCTCCGGTTGCTTCTAAGAGGTTGAATGATTATGGGCGACAGTCAGTAACTGGTCCTTTTTACTCAGGACCTCTTTACCCATGAAAAACTTCACAGAATTGCCATTGTAATGTAATCATTGCAGAACAGTTTTTCCAATAATCTAGTCATCTCCAAATAATTTGCTTGCAGTGATTTCCCCACACACACACACACACTCAAAAAAGATTTTAGTAATTTAGGAACAGTTATTCAATTGTTGCAAACTGAGGAAAGTAATTAGTCTAAAGTAAAAGTACATTCATTCTGAAACAGCATGTTTACTCACAAAGCTAACACAGATCATCAGATCAGTTTAAAAAAAAAAAAAAAAAAAGGTTATGATTAAAACCCAAAAAGTTTGCATCTTCCTTCAGAAGATAACTACCACATTAACAAAAAGCCCATTTCCTAATGCATGCAGCTAAGTAACAATTCTGTCCCAAGATCTAATTTAAAGGATGAATTTATGCAATAACGATAGCCTAGAGGTGATACAGGAAAAGCCTCTAGCACAGAAACTCTCTTTTGGTGGTTTGGACTCTAAACATGATTTTACTCCAGGCTCTAAACCAAAGAGTTGCCTGGAGTATAAGTTTGGATCAAAGCTTGACTGATGAACTCCCTGACAGGAGCCTGCAAGAAAGGGGAAAGTCATTCTCTTGATCCCTATAAAGTCTCTTTCCTGAGGTATGTGGCAATTTAGATGGGAGGAAACTCACTAGTTTGGAAGTCACGGACAGTCACGTGGTTTCCCACCAGAAAAGCTGCTAAATTCCAGGAAAGAAAAGCAACATCACTTTTACAATAAGGGGAAAATGAATCCTCCAGTCAGCTTTCAGAGTGCTTTTTGACTGATTTTCATGTCTAAGTCTTTGGCTTGGAAAGTGAACCCATTTTCTTGATTAGGATATGCTCTGATTAAAGATCACTAGAATTATGCTTATGATTAAAGAGTCACTAGAATATAAACCTGGGAGACTCCTGAGTGATCTAGGATCTTCAACAAACCAAAGCAGCCACAGCACCTAACATATGGAGGCTTAATCCACATAATTTTACATAACAACGTAAAGAGATGGCTAAAAACTTTCATCTATTTAATGCCATGGAAAATTCAGAGAAAGTAAAAATAAAATAAAATCAGGGAACTTACCAATATGAGCCCTGTCGGAAATTATTAGCCTTTTTTCCCAGCCTTCTAGCCCTTAAACGAAAGTAAAATAGTTCAAGTTATGTTTTGTACAGCATTTTTCTCTTTTGACGTTTAAGGGAGAAATGCTTTTCATGTTTAGTCTTCAGTGAATACATTTAAAGGATGAGCAAACACCTTCCAGAGAAGACAAGCAGATTTCAATAATTAAAACCTGACATCAGCCTATAAAGCTAAGAAAATTAGGCTTATTATCCAGATGAAAAAAACCTAGATATCTAACTTGTTTCTTAATTTCAGTAACCAATTAGTAGCTTTTTCCTTTTGAATAATTTAGACAGCTGATTTGCTTCACTGCTAGCAGATCGCTGACAGATATGGCCATAGACATAACATCAACGATCACAAAGCTGAGTTCTGAGGCAAGCGATTCCAATAGCATTCATTTGCATTAACATGTATCAAACTGTACACTAGTATTGCAAGAAGTGTAGCAATTATGAACAGGTAACACTTCCTAACAAGTTATTTTACTTAATAACTCCACTGCTTTAAGCAACAAAAAAACCACCTGCAGATAATTTACATCTAGAAGAAGCTCTGCTCTGAAACTGTACAAAGATTCCTTTTACACTTGTACTGCCCATCAGAGCCCTGAGGCTTTTAGTAAGACTCATGTCAGAAGCTAGAAGGTAAAGGGAGTTCTCGAAGAGCACATTATGTCCTCTGCAAAGGCATCCTCTACCCAAATCTTTTGAGGAAGGCCCTACGCACCTTTTTAAAAAGTAGTATCTTAAAATTTTCTCACCTTTTCCTTTCTTCAGATTTTTTTCAGCCTCTTCAAAGAGTCCTGGCAAATGAATTACTACACCATTTCCTGAAGAAATTACAAATTACCATTAAAAAAAGTTTAATGTATTATGCTAAACATGGAAAAAATGTTCCGTTCAATTCAGAGACACTTCATGCTTTGTATGAAGAGTATTTCATTTAAGTTTTTAAACTTGGGAATGAAAACTAATGTATTATCTGTAAAAGACTGACTGACAGCTAGAATATGGGTTTCTAACTACACATATCAACCTCTTTAAAAAAAATTCAACTTTCAGTTTAGATCAGTAATAGTATTCCTGACTGTCCCACAATACAACTTCCTCTTCCTCATTTCTAAAATTACCTACCCTTTTCGTACTCCACTGTAACAACACAATTGTTTTTTAAGAAGCTTAGCGCATTTCTAGCATCATTATAAACATTAATATCCCTCAGGCACTTTTCTGTAAATAACTACAGAATATTGTGTAAATAGAGGTGGCGTTGTTACCAGACTAGCAAGAACAGAGGAAAAAAGCTCCATCAAAACAAGCTTGTTTTCCTACAGGAAACTGAGATTTGCCACCGTGTCACATTGCTCAGAAAAGAGCTAGCAGCTCACACACTTAACCAGCATTGCTGAATGGTTTAAGAACAAGCATTTCCATACATCAAAACCCAGCCATCTTGCCAAACTCAGTAGAGCTGAAGCTGTCAGTATGATAATATCTACCCAACAGGTAGAGTTCCTGACATCACATAGTACTGCCACTGCCCTAAGCCTTCTGCTGTACCATCTGGAGAAGACCATTTGACAAAAACCCATAGAGTGGAGAAATCATCTTGGATTCCGTATTCATTAATTTCACTGTGCAATGGAAAAGGGAGAAAAGATCTATGCTGCAAAATATACTGGCAGTCACTCAGCAGGGCTGAGGAGGGAAGGATTATGGGACTAAAAGACATAAGCACCAAAGAAAATAAAGAGGCAAGGAGAAAAAAAAAAGAATCAAGACATGCAGCAAACTGTTTGCAGTGACAGGACAGATAAGAACAAAGATGGACTATGCAACACAATACAGCAAAAGAAATATCCAGAATCCAAGCTTCACGATTTAGTTAAGACAATACTAACAAGGTAGCAGAGATGTTTCACAACTGGAGTCCAGGCCTATATGGGTTTGAGGAAGAAAAATCCTGAACCTGTATGTTCTCAGATGTATTGTGTGTTGTTATTTTAAGATGTCAGGAACCGCATCTGCATTATTATCTATTTCTGTTTTAGAGATGACCCACTTACCAATGAATGCTGTAACTTTCGGATTAATGATCCCACTTGGCAGAAGATGGAAGTCATACTCCACAGAATCCACAACAACTGTATGCCCTGCATTATTGCCTCCCTGGAAAATAAAGAAGTTTGTAGTTTTTGATACTGAAGACAAATGAACACAACAGTACAGAGATGGAATAAACTGACTCCACTTCCAATCCTGCGACTTTCATTTCTATTATAGACAGAAGATCTATAACAGACCTGCTTCTCTCCAGGAAATTAGCCAAACTTGTTTTCTATAAATTGAAAATGTCAGCATCAGTATTTTCTGCCATATAGACCTTGGATGCTATTTTGGTTCACCAATGGTATAGCATCTTTGGAATAAGATTTACAAAAATGTTTCTAAGAACTACTGGACAGAAGAATACATATTCTAGAACATGCAAACGTTTATTGAAAAAAGAAAAAAAAACACAACAGTTTTGCTAAATTCCTAATACACTTAGGGATCATAACATTAAAGTCTGACTGCAACCTCAGCAAAGACGACAAACACCAGTTAAATTCAGTGCACAAAACCATACTAACAGAGTTATTAGGGCAGATTAGCCCAGCTGTTTGGCAACATGCAAATTTGTTGCTCTGCATGTGGCGCTCAGTCTTTTGGATATTTTTCTATGAATGACAATCAGCAAAGTTGACTAGTCCGTTCTGTACTACTTCAGACAGAAGAAAGACCTGTTAAATGGTATAGCACATTCACAGCTGAAGAGTGCTATTAAGAAGTGAAATGCAATCATGGTTTTGCTAGATTACAGGGAACCCACGTACATCAAATTGGCTCTCAGCATTCCTAGTTTTCTCCATTACCATAAAGTTCAAGAGTATTAAGATTTGTTAAATTGGGGAATATGGCTAAAATACAAAAAGAAGCCTGTGTCCGAGTCTTAAGAAGGGTCAAGATAAGCTTATGGAACTTAAAAGATTATGAAGTGGTTACCAAATATCTCCCGTTCTTCCTTGTTGCATTTCTGAAAATGAGCTTACACGCTCTCACGATTGAATCGTTTGTGCAAGACAAGCTTACATACAAAACGGTTCTGCTTGCCATAATTACAGGAATAGCATTTAGAGGAGGCACATAGCACTAGAAAACCAGTAAACTGCTTCACAGAAGGAAAGACTTAACAATTGAAACCTTCTTTTAGTGCAAGACAAACTGGAAATAACCTTTTTAAAAGGAAGTTTCTGAAATATTAATCCATAGAATTATAAACCTAAGACTTTTCCAGTAGTTCATAACAGAAAGTATTTTCTAAGTAATGGACTCAGCAACTCACTACTTCTACAACTTTACAAAGCATGAACATATTACATAATGCAGTACATGCAGTATATGTAGTATATAAGACAAGTAGTATATGTGGTCTACATGTAGTAGCCTACATACAGTAGACATTGCACAAAGAACATTCTTAGACAGCAAACACATTTGTGCCACTATATAAACTCATATGCCATAGGTAAAGGTCACATTTTAGTGAGATTGGAAATAAAACTTCTCATGCTTCAGCATTATTCATCTGAGGATCTGCTCTCATATACCAGTCCCACCTCCTTTGAAAGCAGAGAGGAGATCCATGACCCAAAGAAAATGCCTGAATTTAAGAAAAAGTTAAAATGAATTTGCAGTATATTAAGATTTGTTTTGTTTTGTTCTCCATGTAGCCAAAGGTACCTTTAAAATGTTGTGAAGGTTTCTGGAAACAGATACTTTTCACTACAAGTGATCTGACTTAACCAGAAAAGGTCAAACTTTCCATTCACAACATGTGAAACTAAGACACATCAAATGTATAAATAAAGCAAGCCTTTCAAGTCCATTCTTATCTTTTCAGAAAGATTATTTACTGGTATACTGCCTCCACAGTTGCAATTTTGATTTAAAAGGATGCTAAATAGTAATAAATACCCTACCCACTAATGTAAATGTATTGTTGATATTCCTGGGCTACTGCAAGTTATTCCAAAAATCACATGATAATCAGAACTTTTATATACAAATATAAAATATGCAAGCTTTTTTTAGTATCTGAGAAAGTAAACTAATTTTGTTCTTGATGTGAGTGTTTGAGAATCTAGGAAAGAATCCTTTCTTGGGGGAGAAGGAGCAAGAGCACAGCTATGTACAAAAGCAGCATTTACAGTCAAGCATATCTGCTGAAAATGGTAGTTTCCTTCCTCAGCAGATTCCTTCAACTTTTCACTCCCCATTAGATCCGTTGGTAGAGATCAGTGTACAGAAATTTAACATGACCAGTAAAGTGTTTTAGATGAAAGTTCAATAGGTCTAAGTACAATGCTGAAGTACTCAGGTGGGAGTATTTTGCAACTGGGAGGAAGGATGGAAGACAGTCCAAACTGTCCCACTGTAGTGTAAATAAGGAGGACTAACCCATGAGCAACATTCAGATTAGTGAAAGACTATGCATGAAGAATTATTAACTTGAAATCCCCTACAGAGTCAACGACTGACTTAATTTCATGTTTTACTTCACAAGTTATTTCAAACAAATAGTTTTCTAGCATCAAGGGTATATTCAAAGAAAGAGAAATAAAAACTTGCCATTATAGAGATTAGATCATGACTAACAAATTCTTAGTCTTTTAAAGTTCGCCAAGCTACTGGTGCCATTCAGAGATGGTAACATAATGTTCAGTGGTCACATTTTATTGACTAGGATGTAAAACACACAGACTCAGACTGTACTAATCATGAGAACATATCTGCCATTTTTTGATGGTGTCAAGATTTCCCTTGCACTGCTGAACAACATCAAGATAGGTGAAGGTGTGTTGTTTCCATGCTCATTTAAAAATACCGCATGGCTGGCATTTCATGTAAATATGGCATTTTACCCCTTAAACCTTGAGCTATATGCATAGCCCAACTCGTACTTTAGAAGTTACTTACAACAGGCAGAAGCAGACTCTAGCACTTTCAAGCATTAGAATTCAATCCATTAAGCTGAAAAATAAGTCCTTCCACATATATCAAGTTCTTCCATTCTTCCAGTTACATAGAAATCTCTGACAATACAGCAGTGTAAGAATTATTTTCACCGGGTTTTCCTGAATTGCCCATGCTTATAAGTCATGCCAAATACACAGAATAAAAGAGAACTTCAGGTGAAAGTCATGTTTTGTTTACTTTGCAACACTTTTTTTAAAAAATACTACTCATATGGAATCACTGCCTTTAAGTGGTATTAGAATTACATGAACTTGACCAAGGTGCTGTATTACAGGAATTTAGTAAATCATGCTAGAAAGAGCTCAGACCTGTGTAAAGAACTTTATTAAAACAAACAAAAAAAATCCACACCTTTTTTGAAGGCCTCAAAACTTTGAGTAGACCTTCTAAGATTTCACTCTAGTTATTCGTACTTAACTTCAGTGTTCTCCAAAACTTTCAGACTGGAATCTCTTTTTATTTACCTATGGATCTATCATCTTCCAATTTTCAGTAAATGGCTATATTATTTAAGTCTATTGTCCATTACCATAACCCTATTTCCTAAAACATGAATTGGGCTTCTGAGAAATCTTTGAAAAGATGTATTATATTACTTTCTGCTACGACTTCCACCCATTCGCTTCTGGGTACTGTTAGAAGTCATAGCTTATGGGATTTTGCTACAGACCAAAGAACAACTCAACATAATGTGTGATGAATACACTCATACACCACACTAATACCTCAAAGTTTCCAAATGATTGTTTTCAGATTATACTCAAATCTGAACCTCAGGTTTTAGTAGTTTGTAATATTATGATGCCTACCACATGACAAGATCCCAAAACCCCAAAACAGCTATTGCTATTAACCAGCCGTTATAACAGTAAGTCACCCTGCTTTAAAAAGTTTCATTTTGAAAAACATTTTTTATTTCAAACTATGTTTTAAGAGAGCATTAAAACAACAGCATTTGATTTTGAAATGACTTGAAAGGCTGAAAACAGTGTTTTCAAAATTCTGCTATTGATTTACAGGTGAGCTCTAACCAAACAGAAATGCAAGCGTACAGTTGCAAAATCAGTAGTTGTAATATATTGAGATTGATTCATATTATACACTTAACAGTGAACTAAAGTTCACATATGTATGCTCAGACACTGCACAACACAGATTTGGTGAACAACTCTAACTACAAAAACTTGAACTCAGTTCTAGTGGGTTTTGTTGTTTGTTTCTTTTTTCAGAAATGGATGACAATGCCAACATCTTTGTACCATATGCAACTATTGCCTCCAGGTGTAATTCAAGGTAGAAACCAATTAAGTCACTTTTGGCTTGAGTCCTTTCCATCTGGGTTTTTCACTCCTCCCACGTTGCACTAAACCAAATGGGATCATTTAGGTCATTCAAGCTGACGCTCCCTTGATTCAAATGTTTAAACATTATTAATGGAGAATTCTTAACTCTAGAATTTATTTTCACCATTAGTTAAACAAAGTTCACGCTCAAATGATCTTCAATACATTGCATAAAGCTTTTGCCAGAGGGAAACAAAGATACAGAAGTCATTTCTTCGGGCTGACAGTGCTTTGTAGTTCAGTAACTAGATACAGTAAGTAGTCCGTCTACCATATCTAGGTAACCCTTGAGGTTCTCAAATTGGGGGAACACAAGAAGCCCCAGCAAAGTTCTCTCCTTTCTGGTCACACGAAAACTGAAACATTTACCTTGTGTTAACACAGGCAGAGGCCAAGTGCAAAGCAAGAGCAAAGGCTGCTCTTGCTCAGGCTGGAAAACACTACATGCACGCAGCAGCAGCTAATTCCTTTTCTCTTTCTCCACGCACAATGGCAAGCTCTCCCTCAGCTGATTCACATAGATCTGTGATAGCCAATGTACTAAAGGTCTACAGTTTCTGCTTTCTGGAGGACCCACTCATTAGGGCAAGGCAGCCCTGGATTCAGCTACAAATACACAGACTGCACAAATGGGTTTAGAAGAGGAGGGAAAAAGACATTTCCCCAGTAGACTTCTTGTACATGAGAGGTACAATAAAGCATCTGTGGCACTTTAAGTTCACTATGGGAAGGAAGCATCCCAGTTAAGCAGACAGGCGGTACAGGAAGTCCCTCTGGAAAATGGAACGGAGGCTGTGGAGGAAGTCATGTAGTTAAGGCAGAGCCAGGGGAAGAGTACTGTGTGTTTAAGGAGAGGAAAAAAAAAAAAAAAAAAAAAGAGGAAGAAAAACTAGCAAGACATACTCAGTAATATCTCAGAGTTAAAAACTCCACTTGCTTGGCAGTGCAAAGCAATACTTAGTTTCAAAATTATGCAAAAGAGAGGGATCCTAAAAGATGGCAAAGGCAACAACCTAATGCAAAAAAAAAAAAAAAAAAAAAGGGCTTTTAAGAAAAAAAAGAAAGATCCTTTTAGCATTTTTTAGGTAAGCTAAACTTGCAGAAGACCAAAAAAAGCAGCTCAAGACAGGCAGTATACACAAGACCAGAAGAGACTGTCCAAGATCAAATCCCCTGCTAAGCAGAATCAAAATCACATTGAACCTGTTTCATAAAGCTTTGTATTCTCCCTCTGCTTCCAGAGATTTTCCATGCTCTGTTACTGCTGTTCTAAGAGTAGTCCAAAACCTTTTCCATAATGTTTTAGAGGTGATAAAACACACTTGTTTCTGAAAGTGCGTATCAGAAATACATTCTGTGAACATAGTTTTCCTTATTCACTGCTGCATCTCACTGGATGTTACAACACCAGATACATTATACGAAACACTTAAGTCATCTGCCAAAACAGTATAATCAAAGTTTTGAACCTAAATAATAAGGCTGGCTCC